GAACACTTTTCCTATGACATTGAATTGAAGAATTAATATTTTTATAAAAAGGTAACATTACATAGGCTTGTCTCTTTCACCAAGAGGATGTCAACTGATTGTCTACCTGTAATTAATCAGTGAGAAATCACTCCTGGGTAGCTTTACTGTCAAATGTAAGAGGAGATTTGACCTGTCCTTCATTTTTATCCTATAGCTGATAAAGTTTTTGTGTGGCTGTCCCCATAGAGAAAACTTTAAGGACATTCTTAAATAAAAAGTATAGACCTTTTAAAAATTTCTTATTAGATTCAGATAACTTATTAACACCCACTTGCAAGCTTCTAAATTCGTTGCTATATTGAGGTCAATGAGGCCGGTGTGTGTGTGTGTGTGTGTGTATATATATATATATATTTATTTTATTTATTTATTTATTTATTTTTATAAGGCTTTCTTTTTTGGGATTATCAGTCCGTGTTTTTCCTTAGCAATCCCTTCCCTCGAAGGAGTTCTTATGTCTCTGTTCTCTTTGTTCTTATTTTGCAGTGATAAATGTGGAAACTTTGTTCACAGATGATGAATGTTGGCATTTGGCAGTTCAGTTTCATCTTGAATGTGCCTATACATTTTTGAATTACTATGAATATAGAAAAGCTAAAAAGCATTTCAATGCAGCTAAAGACATAACGAAACTACAAATTAATTTGACCGGTAAGTTTTGTTTACAAACGTTATGAAAACCTTCTTTAGCTAGCTTTTTATGACTTGAGATTTTTTTAATGGCCAAGAAAAAATAGAGGGTGAGATAATGTTTGGGTAATGCTTGCTTGTTAAGAGCAACTGCTCATTGTAAGTGTGGGGAGAGGTTTGATTCTTGAGCTCATAGCATATTCTGACTTTATACTAGTATCTGTACAGTTACAGTTGGTGTATCTGTTATCTTATAAATAGAGTTGAAAGGGTACAGAAGAAAAATTAGAATCAACACACCCACTAAAATATTTAGAGTTATTGTATTGTGGATTTTATTCCATTTAATGTTTTTTCTATTGTGTATCAATCAATAGTTTATCAGTGGTAACTCCAGAAGTACTACAGAGGAAATGAAGAAGCCTGGGAATAGAGGGAAAATTCCCCAAATTTGTAAAAAATTTCATATCTGCCTCAATGAGACAATATCTTAAAAATATATCTCTCCACATGAAACTAAGAAAATTATCTGTAGTATTCACAGTAATCTTAGTTGAAAGTTTTTAACACACTTATTTTTGCATCAAAACTAGAATACTTTATCCAGTATATGAAATCTGAAATGTGGATCAAGCACAGTCATTTGTCAGGAAGGACAAAAGGTTCTATTTTGGTTTCTTTGTATGGTGGGTGCTAATCTTTTGAAAATCGGCTTCCCACATTATGAGATTGTTTCATGTATTACTGGACTAGGACTTAGACTAATATGTAACTGTTATTGGAGCAAGTTGTGGTCTTGATTCAGTGACCTAATTGGGGGCCTGCTTCACAATATTGGACATAAAAATTGAAACCAGTGATTCTGATGATCGGTACAGTAAACTCCTGTGTTATGATGGCCCGAGTTGTGAACCTCCGCACTTAAAACCATTTTTGTAGGTGCGGAAGGGGCTGAAAACCCTCAGCTTAAATCCTCAGCCCGCATTTACGATGGCACATAGTACCTATCGTAAATGCAGGTTTAAATTACGACGCCCCTGACTTGCGACACTTCCCCAAGAACCGATCGCGTCGCAAGTCGGGGGCCCCTGTAATTTAACTGTCACACTGAATTGAATCCAGTCCATGTCAGTAGCAGGGATGTAAATGGTTGATTGCTGAGGCTTCAAGTTTCTGGTTAACTAGTAGGGGCTGGATCAGCTCTCTGCTCCTGGCAGGCCCAGCTTGCTCCTCCCACCAGAGGCAGGGGCTGCTCTGGCTGGCCTACTGGGGCAGCTCCTATTTGTGGAGGGCCCAGCCCAGCCTCCCGCTGCTGCAGGTTATATGCTGCCTCCCCAAGAACAGGGCTGGCAGGCAGAGCCTGCAGCAAAGCTTCTCAAGGAGCAGGGTGGGCAGAGCCAATTGCCTGACCCACTCCCAGAAGGCTTCCCAATGGGCTCTGCAGTATAAATCCGCAGCATGTGTAACTGCAGCATGTGTAACACAACTTGGATTTAATTCCTTGACTTTCTAACTGACTCAGTACTTTCTTCATTATTCCCTATTTTATGGGATCATTTATTTCCTAATTTTAATATAAATTAAATAGCACATATTTGTTTCAGAGAGTCTTAGTACTTAAAGGATTAAGTAGTAAATGGTTACAAAGCTGGTTGCAATATACTTTGAAAATGTAACATGAAATTGGTGCTATAGCCAAGACATGACATTCTGTTATGTTTTGAATTAAGTGGATGTTAACATTCTAGTACAGAATGTACTACAGTACTTGTTTGATATTCAAAAGTGGTTTTTCTAAAGTTAACCCAAATTATTTTTGTACAAGTATTTAAAAATGAGTGTCAAATCAGAACGTAAAAGTTTAACAAGTGAAGGGACTAAAAACAAACCCAAAAACCCCACAACAGCCCAGCATGTCAGGTTTTTTTGTCAGCTGTTCCTTGTTTTTTACCTAAAACATCTATAACCGTGTTTTCCTTAAGAGATTTTAGGGAAATTGCTCGTTCAAGTTTCAAGATTTAATCTAGAAAAACTATTGTTAAATGGAAAGAAATAGTTTGCTGCACTGAGTATACGTGGACCTTCAATTATTACTTTAGTCAAACATTAGGATAGCCCCAGAACTGAACGTGGAGAGAGACTCCTAAAAGAAAAGTATCATTGTTTCTGTCAATAAATCTATCCGAAGGATTATGAAGGATGTCTACTGTGAAGACAAACTAAATGAATATGTGGGAATTGTTGGCATTATAAGACAAATGTACTTGACACTCATGTTTTGGCTGGATAGGAGGAATGTTACATCATCAAAAAAAGTCTTGTTTTTATGTTAAATGTGCAACCACTGGCAAATGTAATTTTAAAGCTTTTTAAGAATGATTTCATTTTTTAAAAAGGACGTATCAAATATTACTTAATGACTATAGTCTTTATTCACTAAACTTTTTTTCATCATGAAAATAAATACAGGTTGAACTTCTCTAGTCCGGCACCCTCTGGACCTGACTGGTGCCAAAACAGAATTTGCTGAACCACGGGGGTGGTCGATATTCTCTAGCAACATTACCAACGCTTCCATTGCTTACTGGGCTCTTAGAGGGCATTTAGGGGTAAATTAGAGCTAAAAAACAGCACAGAACACTGAGCGCCAGGGCTGACAGCTGTAACCAAGCATTATGAGGCCATGGGCAATGTGGCCACAACCATGATAAGTGGACATCCAGCTAACTAAAATCATGATGGATTACGGATGTTGTCAGACCAGAAAGAGCCTAGAGAAGTTCAATCTGTATTTTTTTAAAAGGTGTCCAGTAGTGAGCCCTGAAGTTTAAAGTCCAATATTTTAAGAACCATAATTAGAAATATATAAAAACTCCTGGATTTAATAGGTTACTTCTTTTGTTTTTATTTTACATGAAGTTTGCACATTTTCCAAGAAATGCTAGAAATTCTGTTTTTTCATGATAGTCAATAAATATATCTTAATTTTTGTAGGTGCTTTGGGGAAAAGGACGCGATTTCAGGAAAAGCTTGTAGCACAGCTTATACTTGATGTCCAAAGGAAAGATGTCATCATTCCTCATCATGAGCTGAGCCCAGCTTCTACTCCTCTAGAAAATTTAACAAAGGTATATATTAGAAATAAATGGTTTGTTTGGTAGGTCAGGATTTTTAACACCCATTTACAACACACAGAAATTTTCTTGAACATTTGTGGAGAAGGGTTGGAATGTGAATAGGATAGACTTCTTAATTATTCTGATTTTTTTTATTATGGTTGTGGGACTATTAGTAATGGACTTACTTGGTTTAATTTGTTTATTATTGTGAATTTTGAGTTTTGTAAGGGACAACCAGAGATTAGGATAGTACTTCTACTGTCTGTTTTATTTGTAATTGATATTTATACATGTATAAAAATTGTTGAAATGAGTTATATGGCTTTTGTGACTGTCTTCTTCTGGTAAATGCACAGATTTTCATGTGTAGCTTATATCCATATCTTGGGATCACACATTCACATGGCACATGTTTTCCTCTTAAACTCATAGGCTGTGTCCAGACTATGGGGTTTTTCGAAAAAAGTAGCCTTTTTTCGAAAAAACTTCACCTGCGTCTAGACTGCAGCCGCATTCTTTCGAAATTAAATCGAAAGAACGCAACTTTTCTTTCGACGGCGGTAAACCTCATTTCACGAGGAAGAACGCCTTTTTTTGAAAGTGCTCTTTCGAAAAAAGGCATTCTTGAATGCCAACAGGGCTTTTTAGAAAGAGAGCATCCGGACTCACTCGCTGCTTTCTTTCGAAAAAGCGGCTTGCTTTTTCGAAAGTACTGCTTGCAATCTAGACGCTCTTTTTTGAAAGAGGCTTTTTCAAAAGATGCTTTCGAAAAAGCCTCTTTCAAAAGAGGCTTACAGTCTAGACATAGCCATATAGTACACAGATTTTAAAAGGCGTTACTTAGTGTAACAATGTTTTAAAGAAAGTACACCTAGTAATCATGTGTCTGTCCCTGCCCTTATTTTCTTCTTCAAGAGACACACACTTGGACCCTTTCATAGCTGAAAATGGAACTGAGATAACAATGCCTTACTATGAGTTTCTAGCACCTCATGATGCCCTGTCTGACTCTTTAGAGTAAAATCAGCATTAAATGTTGAGAGGTACAGAGCAATTTCCATCGAAGAACAAAATCATTCTGTGGGCCAGTCCAGATCAGTAAGGGTTGTGTCAATGCCTGACATGCAATCCTAGATGCCTGAGAAGGCTTGGGTGCAGGTGCTCATAGCTCTCCAACCAGCATGCAGGTTACATCTTGAGCAACTGAGTGTAGCCACAGGCCGTGGTCCAGCAGCTTGAACTCCAGCAGTTTGCCAGCAACACACCAGTCACACGCTGACTTCCTTGGTTACTACTTGAAGAATGGCCCAAATGCACACCTAGTCCCAGATTTTCCCTAAAACATATGCTTTGCAGTGTATAGCTCTCTCCTGAACAGTCAATATATTAAGATTTGTTGCCCTATGAGTCAACAGTTTGTTTTTACTGGAGTTACCAAACAATTCAGTGTACACACAACACTGGATTGGTTTATATTAAAAGTGAAACGAGTTGATTAATGAAAGAAAATAAGATTTAAAGTAAATTTAAAAATAAATATAAGCAAATAAAAACGTAAGTCTAAACCTTAATCTAGCAAGCCTTGGTTTAAGACTTTTGCTCAAGAGGGAGGGCCTGTCTCACCCACAGTCTTTCAGCAAGATTAAAACTGCGTCTTTCCTAAGTCAGGATGTCTCCCAGAGATCCAAAGGTGCTGATGCCTTTTATTGCCTTGAACATAACATGGGGTATTCTGCTCCATTCCTTGATAGTCCAGTCAACATTTAAAATGGATTCTTCTGAATGTTGCCCTTCCAAGTAAAGTTTATAAAAGTCACAAGGAAGGCAACATAGTCTGGTGGTAGAGGAACCTCCAAGCTCTTTGTTGTTGTTTTTTTGTTCCCCTCATATGTTTTCTGAAATTCAAATTGGGCTGTTTCCTGCGATCCCCTCCCTCTGCTGTCTTGAGGACGCTGTTAATTATTTGCATGTAAATTGAGATAACCACAAGTTCCTTTGGCTTATTGAACAACTTCTGCCTAGGCAGAACTGCCTAGGCAGAACTGTCTAGTTTTGAGCACTGCTGGTAACATCATAACATGGAATTGAAAATCTTACCTATAATTTTGCTGCGTACATTTTACCATCATAAGAACGGCCAGACTGGGTCAGACCAATGGCCCATCTAACCCAGTATCCTGTCTTCCGACAGCAGCCAATGCCAGGTGAATGCGCAGGGAGCTGGCGTAAAAGCCAGCTCCTCATGGGCACTCCCCCCCGGGGATCCCCCTGCCACTCCATACTGCTGATTCTGTATCAGAGAAGCAGCATGGGGCAGGAGCTGGCTCCCCGGGAGCAGAGTGGCAGGCAGGAGCCAGTGTGCACCAAAAGCCAGTTGGCACACACTGGCAACCAGGGAGCTGGCTGCCGCCTTGGGTGTAACAGTGTAATCACTGAAATCTTCAGCAGTTACATGGTTAATCAGTTACATGTATTTTAACATTTCTAGTGCTGGCCAGCTTTAAGCTGCTAATTCTCTATGAGCTAGGTGTGTAGTTTCCCCTAGTCACATAATGAGACTTAGCACAAGTATGCATGAGTATAAATTGCACTGTAGCCACAGTAACCTGGATAGCAGAAGCAGATGAAAACCAGTGGGTGCATGCTTAGTAAGAACAAATTGGGCCTCTGCAGCTGTGATCCATGTTATCATGGCTCCACTATTTATATTAATGTTATTTCTATGAAAGCTAGTGTGAATGGGAATCACACCCTTCACTTGTAAAGGAGATGTAGCCTTTGTGTGTCTGGTTGCAGCTTGAGAAAATATATTTTGTGTATCAGAACAAACAGTTTCAAACTTTTTTGTTTCCAGAAGGTAAGAGACTAGAGCCGAGGGACTACATTTTAGAGGCCTTTTCTATAGTCAGATTTAAACTCATAGAATACTAGGACTGGAAGGGACCTCGAGAGGTCATCGAGTCCAGTCCCCTGCCCTCATGGCAGGACCAAATACTGTCTAGACCATCCCTTGCACAGGTTAAACTAAATTGCTCAAAATCATGTGCTTAGTAAAATAGGTGTAAGTTTGCATGAAAGCAAGGCCTGAGATGTAGGTGTTAGGTTAGGGCTCTGAATACAATGTTGTATGTTGTTGAATTAACCTTAATTGATATATAAAAACTAGGGATGGAAGATGTTAACCTGGTAAGCACATGGCTTATCTGCCTACTTAAAAGGTAACCATTTAACTGGCCCAGCCAGCTGGAGTCTGCCTCAGCTATGGTGGGACAAAAGCAGCTCCTGTTGCCTGTGATTATACAGTTAAACAAATCATTTAACCAGTTAACTATTGTAGGCAGTTTTTTACATCCCTGTTAAAAACCAAGTCCTGAATATTTTTTTTATATGTAGTTTGTCAGCTTGTTTTGTAAAAATATATTTGTAAGACATTGTCTAATCTTATGGCACTTCATTGACTAACAGATTTATTGGCGCATAAGCTTTTGTGGGCAAAGATGAATGCATCTGACGAAATGGGTCTTTGCTCACGAAAGCTTATGCTCCAATAAATCTGTTAGTCTATAAGGTGCCACAGGACTCCTCATTGCTTTTGCAGATTCAGACTAACATGGCTACCCCTCTGATACTATCTAAACTTAGTGTAACATATTTCAGTTGGCCATCTTACATAAGTAAGTTAACGCTAACTGTACCTGTTCAGAAAAAAACAACCAAAGGTCTGGTAGCACTTTATAGACTAACAAAACATGTAGATGGTATCATGAGCTTTCATGGGCACAGCCCAGTTCTTCAGATGACCAGAGTTTTGAACCATCTACATGTTTTGTTAGTCTATAAAGTGCTACCAGAACATTGGTTGTTTTTTTCTGTACAGACTAACTGGGCTACTCCCTGAAGCTTCTGTACCTGTTCAGTCAGCCTAATGACTGATGATAGAAAATTTCTCTGGTTTATAGATCAGAACTTGGAAACTGCTTATTGATTATCTTAGGATCCTTAATAGAGCTTCTGTTACTTTTGATGAAGTAGAATCCCTACATAAAATTGCTATCTGGTCTAAAGTTTCTGCCTCATATTAAGAGGATACATAATGTTTGGTTGCCAATGTTTAGTCAATACATAGAAACTGTGGTGAATAGTAACATATTACATAGTCTTGAAATGTACTTGAAAAAGAGAGCAGAGCTGAATATTTTCACACAAAACTCCTGTTTGTTTTGAGGGAGGAGATTAATAGAACTTATTTGTTTTATTTGACATATTGTTTTAGTTCTAAGAATTTTGTACTGCTGCCATATTCAAGTTTTTTGGTCTCATGATTAATTCAGGATTATTGACTTTGTAGATTAATTTTAGGTCCTAATTTTAACTTCACCATTTAAAGGGTCAGTAATCCGAGAACACTGCATGCCCAATGAGTATTGAAACATAAGATAATTACTGAGAGCCATTATAAAATGCATTTTCTATAGTCATAAACCATAAAAACAGCCTCTTTCTTGGATGGTGTTGGTAACCGGAAAAACAGTAAGAATAGTCATAATTTTTGCTCTTCTCTCTCTGAAACAATATTCATTTTCCTATTAGAGCACTGAAAATACCCCCAGTGTCGCGTCTTTGACATTCTCCATCACAAAAATGACTATCCTTCTGTCAGAAAAAGAGTGGATGATGTTCATTTCCTCTGTTTCAGCTGGAGAAGTAGTTGCTAAAGAGTTATAAAAGCTTATTTTCAGTTCAGCTATTTTATAAAATATTTTATAAAATATTTATTATGACTTTCAAACAGTAAAATATGTTCCCATGTGATACTAGAGATAACAAAATAATCTTAACATTACTGAAATATTTTTATTTATTTTAAAATATTTTTCAACAGAATTATGATTTAAATGATGACACAGTACTAAATGAGATCAAATTAGCAGATGCTGATCAGTACCAGTTGCCTGACCTGTGTGCAGAGGAGCTTGCTGTTATCCTTGGAGTTTGGTAAGTTTATTGGTATCTTAGTTCCTTTTTGTAAAATTTCCTTTGAATTTTCTGATGTGTGTTTAAAAAAACCCTCATGAATATTTTCAATCAATTAAAACAGAACAGCTGCTAACATGCCCTTAAAAATTAATGAAGATGAGGTGCTAGAGTCCTAAGAAAAGATGTCAGATTTCCCTGGACTTCGCTGTCTGCTCTGGAAGGAGAAATTTTGTCTTAGAAACCTGATTAACTCAGATTTCTGAGCCTCCATCTCTCCTTGTGGTGAGTCAGGTCAAAAGTACTTTGTTTTTTTCTCTTTTCTCCAGTCTCCCAATGTTAACCCCACGCAATTGTGAAGAAAAACTTTTGCAGTGATTTTCATTAATTTCTGTAAAACACTGATAAATTCCTAAAATAATAAACAAAATATAACCAAAACCAAAGGACCTTGCCATAGAATGTATTTACAGTGAAATTTGCACTTGGATTGTGCATGGTTCACCTCCAAATTGTGGATTATTTCCCAGAACAACATTAAGATCATACAGTACGAGAAAAAAGGTTGAATTGTACTTGACAGCATTGAGAGCAGAAGAGCTGCTGCGAATACACTTATAGTCACTCCACTGGGCGCACAGTTCTCCCCCCTGTAGAGAAGATGAAAGAACAAACTACTCTGGTAGTTAGTCATGTTGCTAGTGTGCTTCTGGATGATGCGCTAGAACGAAGGTGATGAGTATGATGTAAGAACCTGTATAGAAAAGACTACTTGGATACTGAATTGATTGTAAGTACATTTGAACTTATGGTTAACAGCAGATTCTTTTGGTGAAAGGAAGGATTCTCTAAATTTTAGTGATCTTCCTTTCGTATTACGAAGCATGTACCTGCCCAGCTTTAGGCTCTGGCTCTCAACTCCTGTGTGGTTTTGATGGTGAAGAAGTGGTGCTTTGGAGTGACTTCCCTTGGCACATTGTCATCATAAAGCAGGGGTAGAGAATCTTTTTTGGGTCTGGCCACTGACCCACAGAAAAATCAGTTGCGGGCCACAAAAGTGAGAAGAAAAATGAAAAAGACCCTTCTTTGACATGGCCCCTGACAGAGGAGGAAAAAGACATTTCCCACATTCCCCTTGTACACCACAGCCTGGGGGCCCCACCCTATTAGATTTTGTCTTCTCCAACCCTGTGGTGGAGCAGCAGTGGGGCTTGAGCACCAGAGTGGGCTTCCCAGTGCTGGGAGGGGGAACCTTAAGCCTCGGAGGCTTGATCCAGCCAAGCCAGGGGCTATATAGGGCCCATGGGCCTTAGGTTCTCCACCCCTGTGATAAAGGATGCAATATGTTAAGGGAAGAGTCCTAGCTCAAGCTTCCTTAGTTTGGCACCCCCAAAGAATCTATAGCTTTCAGTTTTAAAATTATTTCTGAAATGTTGCAGATCATGGTTTGTTCTGGTCTTTTCTTATAATTATTGTTAATGACCACTTATGGCATATTTTACTGACTCCCATTCCTAGCAGTGAATACTTTTCCTAATGTAAATAAAGACTTCAGAGTCACAGAAATCCCACTGAAAAAAGAGGAGCTTTGCGATAGCTGAGAGAGAGAGGATCTGGTCCCATGTCTTAAGGGATAACAGTGTGAGTTAAATAGCGTTTCAGCTATTGAAAGACTGTTTAACCACAAATACATAGGATTTTGTTTAATTCACAGAACGCAAAATGTGTTGTCCTGCAAAAATTCTTAGATTCAAACTGGTTAAAATGCTTAAGTAATGATACAAAACAGTATTACAAATGTTTTCCTTCAAATAAAATTTTAAGAGGTTATTAAATGTTTTTAAAAGTCTTAATACCTCATTGCAGCTGTCTGCATCAAAATCCAAGAAACACCTCATACAGTATATTGAAGCCAACATGGAATTAATGTGTTTAATCTCAGATTCATTTTTAACGTTCTGGTAGTCTTACACCCGGATGGTGGTCAGGAGGAGGGAGAGAAACCCATTAAAAGTAGTTTGGTGAAGCACATTTCATTTTCTCTTTACATACAATAACATGTTACTTTGTGTATTGTGTCTTATCAGCTTTCTGTGGATTTTTTTGTCTTTGCTATTGCACCTTTCATTTTAAACTTCTTGGTTTTAGTTACCTTTTCAGTCAATCTTCATTTGGGTGGCTAGAGTATTCGATAATGTATTAAATGCCCAATTGCAGCTGCTTGTGCCCCAGCACGGACATCCTTTTTCTCATCTTCATCACTTCCTTGGATGCCAGAGATGATTACTTGGAAAAATCCCAGATGATTACAACTTTTCTCTCTGTTTGATTCCAACTTCCAATCATCACAGTGCGTAGAATAGTGATCAGAATAGTGTCTGGCCACCACTCTTTAGAATCCAATTGCTTTTGCCAAAAATGGGTCATGTGGTAGTCATACGGGCACAACAATTGCATTATGAAAACTCTCTGAATTATCCTTTGGCCTTCTTACTTAATCTTTAAATGTAGGCTGACTGAGTCACCTAAACTTGTCTATATGAGAGCAGGAGCTGACCAGGAAAGTTTCTTAGCTATTATCCCTGGCATGGTGGATCCCACAAGATTGACCTAGCTACATGGAATGGCTAATTAAAGTTGGATCTCTTCTGTTCCAGATTTTGGGAGAAAAAGACATGGAAGACAGAAAATTTGTGATTCATTTGATCAGACCATCAAACTGCTTTCTCTGACAAAACTCTGGTGGCTAGGAAAATAGTAGAGCAGGATCATCTATCCTTACCTATAGCACTAAATTAGATTTTCATATCCTGGTTATCCTATCTCAAGGAAATGTTACTTGTCCCCCATGAGAATTACCCTACATTGAAGACCGTTGATTGAGGAGCTGTAGGGAAGGTTTTAACTGGTGACCTATATCTTATAGAGAATAGTTACCTTGATTTATTGGTTTGTCATCTTTTAGTCCAAAAAGGACTCCATGTCCAAAAGCTATTTGGCAGATTGTCATCTCCTGCAGATGAGTCTCACTTCCTGCCTTCACTTTCATTTTGGTGGATTCATTGAAGGGTTGAACATTAGTATCTTAAGTATCCAAGTGGGTTCATGTTAGAAGCTTTCTGGGTATCCATATGGAAAAAATCATGCAATTCAAACTTATGTTTACTACTAATGAAAGCAGAGGAAAAGCTTCATCTTCTTATAATGTGTGAACATCAACTAGATGCTGAATTTAGGTTCTGTGACAACTGAAAAGGCAGCTATTGAAGTATGGAAGAAAATTGTATTTTGCCACAAGTGTAATGGCTTCAACAACTCTGTCAATCATTGTTAAAAATATATTATTCCCTTGATCACTGTAGTTTTAAGTGGTTTATCTTCAGCTCTAGTGCTTGTTACCCTTTTACAAGCTTTATGAAATAATTTACATTGCATATTTTAGATGTTATGAGAGAGAGAGAGCAAGTGAGCCACTGCCACTCTTGTTGTTAGGATACCTGCACTTTTTATTGTAATGGCTTGATTTTAGTTGTCTTTAACTTTGAGGATCTTTTAACTATATCCACAGTGAAACCTTTCATGCTTTAACTTTGCCTCATATTGATGATGATTGAAAAATTTGAGTAAAAGTGGATGAACAGCTTCAAAGAAGGGAACCAGATAGACATGACCATGGACAAAATTCAAGGAATAAAAATGTTATGATTAATATGCAACTGTATGGTGACAATCTAAGTACATAGTTGCCTATTCTGTCTATAATGTAACTGTACAGCATAATACAAAGTATAATTATTAGAATATGAGGCTAATTAGATTTGCAGCAAAAAACTCCCACTTGAAGTGTACAGAATTGAAGAGTATAATAACTTTTCATGTTCCATGGCTCCCATGAGAATTATAAATTTACCTGAATAATGTTATCATTATATTCTTTATACCTTGCAATGTCACATACTTGCAAAAAGCAATTATAAAGTATCAGTGGTAGTTTCTGTTTATTGGTAGTTTGATTTAGGCCTTAATATAATTCCGCATGAAGCTGGAATTATCATCCTGTCATTCCCTTTTGTATCATTTGACGGGTTTCACATGTCACATAGCCTACATTATGGGATTTGGTAAGCTATTTTGAGTAGTTGGTGTAAGAAAAAAACAGTTATTTGGAGCTTTGTCCCCATTTCCTCCTTTGGCTTTCCTCCTACTGTGACTGATATCCTTGCTCTCATATTCTCTGTTTTTTGGCTTTTTTTTTTTTCCTCACTACAGGCTGTGCTGGCCTCTTAGTGAAGGAGGATTTCTCTGTCATTGTTCTTTGACAAGCTGAGATGAGTTGCAGGTTCCAGAAATCTTTTACTATTTAGTATCTCTCTTTACAGTTTATGGAGTTTGTCCTTTTGGAGAAGATTGTGTCAAATTATCCGTTGAATAGTAATCCCAATATATATACGTTTCTGGAAAGACAAACAATGGGTTTAAAATACTGGTTTAATAAATTGCAATTGATACTGTTTATAAGCTGAAACTAGATATCTCAGTTCATTTACAGAAAGAGTGGATAAAAAAAGAAACTAAACACGTAATATCCATTGAAACTAATCCCGTTCTTTGGCCAGTTTGCTTCTCATTCTGTGTCCCTCTTAACATTAGATCCTTCCTCTAGTTTTCTGATGGCAGAAAACTACAACAAATTCATAAAACAGTTTTGCTTTCATTATGTATGTAATAGTATAGTTGATTAACTGATAAGCAAAAGCTTATAGGTTAATGCTATAGACTACATGCATTCTCTCTCTTCTCCTCCTCTTGCCCCCAAGTAAATATTTTAGCAGGCTGGGCAGCAGCCTGGCTCAGTCCTGGCCTGCAACATGTCTGGGACTTATCTCTGCTGCATCTCTGCATTTAAAGTGTGTTAGGAACTGGGTGGGCACGCAGCCCGGCCTAGTTCCAGCTCGCGCCACGTCCAGGAGCTCAGACCCGCCCCCCCCATTCCCACAGGGGCTGCTGCCACCCCGTGCTGCTGACTCTTTATCAGACAGCAGCAGTACAGGGCAGTGGGCAGCCAGTCCGCCAGGGGCAGCAATGCAGAGTGGCAGCGGGTTCCTCAGGAGTGAGGCCGGGAGCGCACTGGGGACTATAGAATAACTGACTAACCGATAAAGAGTTCATGAAGTTACTCGACTATTCATTTAACCAATATTTAATATCCCTAGTTCTCATCTTGTAGAAGATAGTGTCAAGGAAGAAAAAATTCTTAAGATTAATTGCCACTTTCAAGAGCTTAACAATCTATCTCAGTTACCATCTTTTGAAAACCACTTTAACTGGATGTATCATACCTAAACGTGTGTGTTTCTTTTTTAATGCTCTGTGACTTACGGACAAAGGACCAAACCCTCTGTTGCACATACATAATAAAACATTTTTTAATTCATAACATTACTTTCTAAAAGATGTTTAGTATTTTGCAAATTTGAGAATCACGCTTTTATATATAAAGATGCTATTGACTGAATTGATATTATTTTATTTATACCTAAATAATTCTATTTACAGCATAGATTTCCAAAAGAATAACCCAATACACAAGCTAACTGAAGAGGAGCTTTTAGCATTTACATCAGTAAGTAATTGATCTCTGCTTATTACTATATTTATATCTTCCTTTGACTTCTTTAAGAGAAGAACTAAGTTCTAAGCTGTGACCCATCAACTAGTTTGGAGAAACTGTTTATGAAAAAAATCTAATATGTTTTGGTCGGTTGCTTCCACAGTTATGAAAAAGAATATTTTGTTTGTCTGTCTGTCTCTCTCAAATCAGTCTGAGTGGTAGCTGTGTTAGTCTGTAACTGAAAAAACTTAAACAATGAATAGTTTTGCAGCACCTTAGAAACTATTAAAAATGTAGATGGTATCATGAGTGTTTGTGGGCACAACCCACTTCTCAAATCAGTGCTGAAATTCAGCCTTGTTTGTTTCATCAGTTCTGTGCTACAAAGTTTACATTTAAAAAAAACTCAAAATATGATTTTCATTTCAATGTATTTTAAAAATATTTCACAGGAGAATTTATAACTACTTTAGATTTTGATTCCTTTTGGGATTTGAAATGATACTGGATAGGCCCCTAGACTAATTCTTCACACTGATCTAATACTGAAAGTACTACCTTTCCTTTTGAGCATCTATCACGAGTCTTCTGTAAATAGAATGGAATAGTGCAATCAGAAACAGTATTCTGATCCTTGCTAAGCCTCAAATACAGGAGCTATATGCATATTCTTTGGCAACTGAATTGAATTATTCAAAACGAAATGTATATTGTTTAAGAACACTTTTTCTTTAGCATAGTCAAGAAAAGAAAAATTTCCAGAGGTTTTTCATGCTTGCTCTTTCTGTCAACAGATCATGTCCACATTGGGGACACCATAATGGACAGTGTGAGCAGTGCACGGTGGATATGTATCCCACAATGCAGTGTTGTGGGAAGGCAGAGGTGATCCCTGCACTTTTTGGGATTCCTTCAAAGTTCTCCCATAGCGTTCTCAGCTGCTGGGAGCAGCATTATGAGTAGCTCTGTGAATGTCAAAGTAGCACAGCGTCTATATTCTCCCTGCAGCAGCAGTGTGGCTGCTGCTGTGTTCCTAGTACAGGGCAGAAAAGGAGCATTTCAATGATTTGTTCTTTGTTCCTCAAATGGAGCAGCTCACTCAGCTGTCAGATATTTCACAGAGCTTTGAAAGGCAGCGGAAATCAAAACACTGAGCACAGCCATCAAGAAAGGCATTGTGGGATACTAGCAGAAGTCAGTTCTATTGAGAAAACAAACAGCAGAGTCTACACTGTCTCTTTGTTGAAGGGAGGAGAAAAGAAAAAAGTCTCTTGTAGGGGTGGAAGATTTTTGTCACCAAAAGTAGGTGTTTTTCCAGACAAAATTCAAATTACAGTGGAAATGCTCACTGTTTTGTCAACAAAAGGCAGTTTTTGGAGACAAAATTTGATAGTGTAGACAGAGCTTCCTGTATGAAGGAATGGAATAGAGAATGGAGCTTTCCGAAGGAATAAAAAAAATCGGAAGTGCTAAACAGGGACAAAAATACTAATGGGAGGGTGAAATATTAAAACACAGTCATAACCAGGGCTCAACAAATCATTGAATCTACTCGCCCGTTGCGAGTAGATTTTAGCCGGTCGCCCCATTCACAGGCGACGCACACATGCACAATGCGGGTCTTGCACATGCACAGTGCGGGACTGACGAGCAGATTTCGCTGCCCTTTGTCAATCCCTGGTCATAACAGAAAAAATAGAATTAATGAGTTTAGAGAAAAATATGCTTACACTTAGAAACATTAGCCTAAGGGAAAATATATTGGAATGGTAAGGAGAAGAGAGAAGCTATACGAAGGTATATACTATTAGGAAATAAAACTGTATAAAGGAGAACAAGATGAAAACATGATTATTAAGTTTACATTTTATTATAAAAAGTTTGCTAGAATGTTACCATTCTTCTCAGAGTGATGGTCCCTGTTGTATTCAGTTGAGGGTTATGTGCACCATGCATCCAGAGGCCTATGTTTTCTTATAGGTTCCATAGTTTTCACAACACATGCCTCTGAGTCTCACTGCTTTTCTGTAAAACATTAGATATTATTTGGGGTCCTTTTGTGGAAACTCCAGAGCCCTCTTACCCTGTTTCAAGTTCACCATTGCTCTATCAAATTCTCTAGGATCTTCATGTACTTGTTCTCCTCTTCTGCTCTTCATATTTCTGCTACCGTTCACACAACTTGATGAGAGATGAAATACAGTAGCAATCTCTAATTAAACTATTAATTTTAATCCTTTCAGTGTTAATATTTTAATAAAGACTTTAACAGGACTGTCCACACATGTAAGTTATGTTCTTTATAAACGACCAACACTTAGAATGAGATCTGCCTTTTAAACTTTCTCTTCAAGAATTTAAATACTATTCAGATGATAAAATAGGAGAGAATAAACGGACATAGCATGTGGACTATACAAAAAAGTAAACAGTCTTATGATCACTCATGTAATATTGCTTCAGAAATCATATTAACTGATATTTGTGAAGGGGTAGAGGCTATCATTTGGGCCAATTCTTCATACCAGTGTTTCCCATTTTTTTTTGACCAAGGAAGACTTTCAAACTCAGAAAAATTTCAAGGAACCCCCTAGCCAGGGATTAAGTTTGTCGAGCAAAAACACACACACACACACACACACACACACACACACACACACACACACACACACACACACACACACACACACACCCCGCCCACAACACACACACACACGCTGCCAGTACACCGCAATTGGTAGTAATAAGATGCTAAATATGGTCATGAGATCACCATTCATTTAAATTCAACATATTGAATATAACACCATTCATTTACATTCAACAAAAATCCTATTAAATATGTACAAAAAATAAAACTATCAAATAATATTAATTATATTCATAGCTTTCAATGCGAAGAGTGGTTTTTCTTCTTTTCTTGGCAAATTCTTTTTATATTTGGTTTAATACTAGAAAGTTGAATTTACATATCTGGCACAGCATTCAGTCGATTTCTGTATTTCGTTTTCATTGCTGCATAGTTCGAGAATCCAGTTTCGCACAAGTATGTACCGGCAAAGGGTAACAGCTGACGAATTGAGCGTCTTGATAAAGATGAATATTCTTGACTTTGACATAAGTCATTCCAAAATGTAATCGGAGAAACATCTTTAAATTTTTGTATTAATTGGCCATCTGAAGCGATTTCAATTAGGTTTTCATAATCTTGTGTAGAAAAACTGACTGGCTTTTCTGTTAAACTTAATGGATTTCGAATCCAGTTATCGTTGTCATTGATGTTTGGAAAATACTTAATGATCGTGTATAAATCACGGAGATGATCTGCAATGTCGCTGCGAATATCTTCATCAAGTTTGTATCCATTTTCTTCAAGGAAATCATTCAGAGTTGGTAAACAATCCAAATCATTTCGTCCTACAGATGAGATCCAAAACTGTAGCTTCCGTGACAATGACAAAATTTTGTCTTTCGCATTAAAAAGATTTACATTCTTTCCTTGCAGCAACAGATTTACTTCATTTAGTTTTGTAAAGATGTCTGCAAGATACGCAACTCTAGATAACCACAAAAAGTCTGTTAAACGATCAGACAGTTGGAATTTGTGATCCATCAGATTTGCGGAGAGCTCATGACGCAATTCAAATAATCTATCCAGCACTTTTCCTCGTGATAGCCACGTATGTAGAAGCAGGGCTGTGTGCTGACTACCCATATCTTCACACATAATTTTGAACAGTCTTGATTGTAATGGTCGAGTTTTTATATAATTAATAATCTGTACTGCTTCGTCCAACACATTTTTAAGAGAGGGAGAAATATTCTTAACTAACAGAGCGTCTCTGTGGAGAATTGATACAATTGATACAAAGTTATTGATACAATTGAATGTATTCTCACCAGTTGTATTGGTTTGCAAAAATTCACATAAAAGTAAGTCGTCTTCAATGGAACTATTAAAATCATAACGGACAAATACAAGCAGAACTGCAAGACCTGCAACATCAGTGGACTCGTCTAATTGTAATGCATATATGCATCACAAAAATGCAGCTGAAAAATAAGCTCCTTCTCGATGTCAGCAGCAAGATCGTGAATACGACGTGTGACAGTATTGTTTGATAGTGGCACAGCCTCAACTTTTTTACTAGACTCCTGATCCAACATACACATCACAATATCTTTTGCACATGGTTTTATGAGTGATTCCCCAATAGTGTGTGCTTCTTCGGCGAGCGATATACAATAGCTTACTTTGTAAGATGCCTCTGTTGCATTTTCATTATCAGATTTGGCAATTTTTGACATGAAGAGTTTACTTTTTTCAAGCGATTCAAGCTTTTGCTTAAAAAAACTAATGTTTTTATCTTTGTATTCTGGATGATTTGTTTCAAAATGTCTTCGCAATTTAGCAGGTACTAAACAACTATTAGATAATATTTTGTTGCACACTACACACTGGGCACCTGGAGCATCTTCATTTCCGTTGCTTGTGAATCCAAATACCAAATAGTCCTCACAATACCTGCGTTTCTTATTAGTCAGCTGAAATTTTTCATAATTAACTTGAGCTGCCTCAGTATTTTCCTTGCTGGTTTCAGTAAAAATATTGGAGTTTGAAGTACTCACTTTTCTCTTTAAAGTTCCTTCTTTTAACCAACGATCCATGGGGAATTTTGATATTAGATTGAATTCTTAAACTTAGTCACACACAGGAGCCACGTGTCCTCAGTGTGTATGGGGATTTGTTCCGATCCTCACAGTGAGTAGGAGTTCCAGTGTTCCACTCACTGATAGTGCTCCCCCCCCTCCACACACACACATGCTGCCTTTACCAAGGGACCTAGCAGCAGCAACAGCTGCTTGTCCTGCTTCTGCCCGATCAACCCAAGATCCCTCTCCCATGTCCCCCGCTGCCGCTCTGCTTTTACCACCGGACCTAGCAGCAGCAACAGCTGCTTGTCCTCCTTCCACCCATCAACCCAATTCTTCTCCTGTGTCCTCTGCTTTTT